TGTGTGTGTGTGTGTGTGTGTGTGTGTGTGTGTGTGTGTGTGTGTGTGTGTGTGTGTGTGGTAGATAGTATCGCTGGAGCAGTGTGAAATGCGATTACGCTCGGAAGTTCAAGACACCGTGGATCAGAATGAGCTGCTTGAATTCCGCATTCTAGAACTGGAAGTAAGAGAATCTGTTTTGCTCCCACAGCAGCAAACAGGGACGGCCAAACCCAGCTCATGTCTACACAAGCTACATACATGAATCCATTTTACCCCACATACACAAAACTGGCACTGCTTTGAGTTGTTTTCATGTTGCTATAGATATTTTCATACACATTTTATATGTTTTTTTTTTCTGTTTCAAGAACTGTATATTTATATCACTATTGTTTTGTTAATTATAAGTTTTAGTGGAATAAAATTTATTTGAATGAAACTCCTCACTATTTATTTTTTCTTTTTGACTGCACTTCCTGCATGTGTTTTTATTTGTGTACACACAAATTCACTATTATTTATTGGTCATGTCAACTTTTCAGTCAGCAGATCATTATTCATCCCATGTACTATGTACTCTTTTTGTATGCTTGTACAATCTTATACGTCTTCTATGAGATGTTGAATATTTCTGTGTGATCATTGTGAAATATTTGGGAGAAGTTATTTCATTTACAGAATCCAATTTGCAGTATACGGTAACTGCAGCTGCCAATTAGAAAGAGCTCTTTCTTAGTTCAAATTACTGCATATAATTAAGTTCATACTGTTTGATTACAGAAATGACTCAAAGCTTGTGGTTTGTAAGTAATTCAGTTGAAACATTAGGTTGTTTGAGTGTGCTTAAAGGGACAGTTCCCCCAGAAATCCAAATTCTGTCACCCTTATGTTACTCCAAACATGTATGACTCTCTCTGCGGAACACAGAAGAAGATATTCTGAATGTCATTGGAGCCCAACCAACAAAGACATCGCTCTCTCTCTCTCTCTCTCTCTCTTATGTGTGTGTGTATATATATTCTGTGTATATGTATATATATATATATATATACAGTAAATATATATATATATATATACAGTAAATATACAACACTTTTGTTTTTGCCCCCATTTTTCATGAGCTGAACTCAAAGATCTAACACTTTTTCTATGTACACAAAAGGCCTATTTCTCTCAAATATTGTTCACAAATCTGTCTAAATCTGTGTTAGTGAGCACTTCTCAAAATGGGGGCAAAAACAAAAGTGTTGCGTTTATAATTTTGTTCAGTGTGTATATATATATATATATATATATAGTCCTTCAGCATTCTACATTTTTTTAAAGTATTTTTAGTCAATGACTATTACACACAGCTTCGAACATCCTTAATATTGAACACATGAATGATCTTCTAATTGTAGTTAGGTCATGTGATCAGTAGTGGTTTCTACATCTATTTATGCATTTTGCAGACACTTTTATCCAAAGTGACTTACAGTAGAGGACCATAAGCCGATTGTCACAGAGCCTACAATATTCAACAACATTCAAAGTATCTGTTCCATAATGTTGTATGAAGTGTGATATGAACTCATCTGTATGTTTTAAGTCTTTTATAAGCATCATATGTACAGTATATGAATGTCAAAAATGTCACCACTACCTTTTAAGTTGCTTCAAACCCATATTACTTTCTGTATTCTGTTAAACACAGATAATGAATATTTGAAGACAATCTAGGCTAATCTTTTAATGCAAGTAAAAAGAAACTGCCCTTAGCATACTTTTAAAATATAGTAAAAGTTTCATTTTCATAATATACTTTAAAACAATATACTTACGTGTAAAGTAAATGTAATGTTTTTGGACGCTTAAATGCACATTGTTTTCTTTAAATCATGACAACAGATCAGTTAAACCATTATTTACATTTACTATGAAGTCAAAATTTAATTACATTACAAAGTGTACTTTTTAATTGTATAGTGTGTGAAGAAACAGTCATGAAAGTGTACTCACTTTTATTAAACTTAAATTGTGTTTTATTTTATCTATATATTATCTGCAAGTACAGTTTTTTTTTAAATATTCTTTAAAGTACACTGCAAGTGCATATTCGGTACAATTAAGTGCATGTCTTTTTCACAAGAGTGGCTCTGTCATGCTTCAATAATGATAAAAAATACACATTAAAGTACTGTAAATGTGCATAGTGTTCATAAATTCCGAGTCTCTTGAAGTCATATAATAGCGTTTGTGTAATAAAAAAGACCAAAACTGTATGACTTAAGAAGACATGGACTGTCTTTATGTGCTTCATTTGGTCATTTTTGGCCCCTCTCAGTCACTACTCATTTTTTGTATGTTGAAGAGATGTCTGGATATTGTTGAACAGTTATCTTTTGTGTTCATCTGAAGAAAGTTTTATTTTTGGTTGAACAATCCCGAAATATTTAATTATTTAACTATTACTTTAAAAGTAAAGTTTCTCTCCAGATACTATTATGCCCCCCCAAAAAATGCTTTCTCTATATTTCACCACAAATTCCTTTTTTTTTTTTTTTAAACAATAGGAGAGGGAACGTCGTTCTCCTGCCTTTAACCTGCAAATCTCTGCCTCTGAAAACAACAGTATCCTACAGCTACACTGCCAGCAAGAGGGTGTCAAGGTAAAACCCACACACTACTGGCATATGACCATCTAAGTTACTAATGTTAAGGTACTCAATTCAAAACTATACTTACTATTGTAATGTGTGGTTGAAGGAATGTGTCAGTTTAGCTCCATTGTGTACAATATACAATGATACAATATACTTTATACTATACAATTCATATACAATACAATACATTGCACACTTCACACAGTTGCATATATGTACCGTATTGTAACATACTGTATGTTGGCCTCATCTTCATGTGTGTTTGGTTTAGGATGTCATCATTCCTGACCTCATGAAAAAGCTTGACATTCTAATTAACTTTTCCCACGACATTCTAATTTATTGAGATGCACCTGTATATGTGAATACTTTTACAAATGTTTTTGCTAGATTTTATTCTCAACAATGTGACAGCAAAAGAAATGTTGTTGGCTTACCACAGGAGAGGCTAAATATAAAACAAAGTAAATGTACTATTTGGCCAAGATACATACAGTATGTGACCCTGGACCACAAAACCAGTCATAAGGGTCAATTTTTAGAAATTGAGATTTATACATCTTCTGAAAGCTGAGTAAATAAGCTTTCCGTTGATGTTTGGTTTGTTAGGATAGGACAATATTTGGCCGATATGCAACTATTTGACAATCTGGAATCTGAGGGTGCAAAAAATCAAAATACTAAGAAAATGGCCTTTAAAGTTGTCCAAATGAAGTTCTTAGCAATGCATATTACTAATCAAGAATTAAGTTTTGATATATTTACAGTAGGAAATTTACAAAATATCTTCATGGAACATGATCTTTACCAGTCATAAGGGTCAATTTTTAGAAATTGAGATTTATACATCTTCTGAAAGCTGAGTAAATAAGCTTTCCGTTGATGTTTGGTTTGTTAGGATAGGACAATATTTGGCCGATATGCAACTATTTGACAATCTGGAATCTGAGGGTGCAAAAAATCAAAATATTGAGAAAATTAAAGTTGTCAAAATACAAAAGTAAAGTTGTATAAATTTAAAGCTGTCCAAATGAAGTCCTTAGCAATGCATAATACTAATCAAAAATTAAGTTTTTATATATTTACGGTAGGAAATTTACAAAATATCTTCATGGAACATGATCTTTACTTAATACTTTACTTTTTTGGCATAAAAAAAAATCATGATTTTGACCCATACAATGTATTTTTGGCTATTGCTACAAATATACCTCTGCTATTAAGACAGGTTCCAGGGTCATATATTTGCATATTTGTGTAAAATATTTTTGCATGTAATTTGATTTTATTTATTATTTAAAAATAAACAATAAATAAACATTATAATTACACAAAATTAATTAATTCCAAGGTTCTACTGAAATGAAAATATACCAAAATAGTGTTTTGGGCAATAATGTTTCAGATTTAACTTTAATTAAGCTGTCACTCAGTAGCAGATAGCTAGTTTGGAAACAAATGTCGTGATTAAATTCTATTCATCATAAATGAAGTAATATACTGTATACACTAATATTTAAAAATTTGGGGTTGAAAGTAGTTTTTAAAAGCATCTTACTGAGCCCAAACTTTTAAGCAATAGTGTCACATTGGTAGTTTATCACAGGAAGTGTATTTTGCTCATTTTTCTTACATGATAACGGTTATATGGTTAAGTCTGACAAAAACAGTTATTGGGAAAGTAATGTATTTTTAGTGATTACAATAAGTTCATCATTTTAAAAAAAATATTAATTTAAAATTGTTATTTTGTACAATAAGTACCTTAATTTCTTTTTAGAAAGTGACAGGAAATCAATTTGTACCATACTTGTGGCAAGTGCCAGTTCGGCCAGTTTGACCAAAAGTATATGACAATAATAAATTCATGAAAAGATGTGAAACTGTTTAAAAACCAATTTCACTATATAATCTGGCCAAACTCATTACCGTTTGCCATTTATAACGCATTGTGTACATGCTTGTTTGTTGTGTTTAGAGGGTGCAGGAGCTGGAGGCCACATTATACACTGCCCTGCAGCAGGATCCAGACAGCTGTGTGGGGGAGAGTTTGAGTGACAGGCAGCGAGCGAAGCTGGCCGAGTCAATGGATGCAGTGCGGAGACAGATCCTGCGGCAGAGTCGCCATGCCGACACGCTCGTCCTACAACAGCGCATGGAGCTCCTCCAGTCTGCGCAGCAGGTCGGGATCTGTGCATGTGTTCATTAGCAAAATTGCCAAAAAAGTACTTGTCCAAGCTGCTCTTCCACATAACGAAAGTGGATGACTGTCCCTGGTTCCTATTCACTTTCATTGTATGAAATAAATCAGCTTGGACAGTCTTCTAAATATCTCTTTTTGTGTTTCATTCAAGAATGATTTGGTGTTTTATCATTTGACTTACAGAGGATCAGAGAACTTGAAGATAAGATTGACATGCAGAGAAGACAAATCAAAGAGATTGAAGAGAAGGTGTGTATGGATGTGTCCTTCTCTCGTGTTTATCAGAGTGGTAGATCATGTTCTGGATAGATACTGTCTCTTAAATGTTCTTCTTCCAAATTGGGCTGTAAGACTGATTCCTCTTCTCCTCTCCTCTCTCTTGTTTGAAATTTGTGTTTATTATAATTTATAGTTTTTGTTCCTTTTCTTGTTTTTCTCCCTAGCTTTTATTCTCTGGCCTTAAAACCCACACACACACACACACATCATATTCTCTCTCTATATCTCTTTCTGTCTCTCACTGTCTTTCTCAAACACACACAGGTGCAGTATCTAGACGAAAGATACAAACTCATCTTGCCACTAGAAACTTTGGTGACACAATCATTCCTCAGTTTGTTGTACAAAACATGTTTTTAAATATTTTATGAAACGTTTCCAAAGAGAAACATTCATATTTCAAAAGTTCCAGAGGCTGCTTAATTTTGTTTTGTCTGATTGAAATTGTGTGAACAAATATAAATGAATGCACCGTAAATATTTGTTATAATGAGTATTTAAAGACACTTCAGCACTTGTCAGACTACTTTTAGTTTCAAGAAATAAAGTTGTATTTTTTTCACATGTGCTCTTGAAGGCTTTATTAAAATGACGGATAACTGTACATTTCTAAAGTTTTTATATCAGACGTGAACAGGACAATGGGTGGTGCACATTTTTTACTTTCAAGCAAGCTATTGTTTAGATCAGCCAATAGGTGGCAGTAAAGTAATAATCCGTCCCTCATCCTTTTGTCGTCTGGGACAGGGAAAAAAGGACTGCAGACTGTCTCACTCACCTGACCTGAGTTCATCTCATTGTGCTAGATTTACCAGATGGAGATGACACACTTTTGTAGTCCCATCGGAGAAGGTGGCAGGCCATTAATAAAAAAGGCATGTGAGAAGACAAGGTGCAGCCAGAAAAGTATGGATGCATGTGTGAATGAAGGCGATGAAAGAAAGAGGAGCACAAGTGTAAAAGAAATCAGCAGGAGTGAGGCTGAACACCTCAGAATGTTCTCGTACTCGCCAAACAGACAAACTGGAAATAAACCACCCGTGTGTTTACGCACAGATTCCTGAGCCAGAGAGATTATCTCAGCTAAAGCCTAAACAAACTTGCTTGTCAAAAATAGAGTTGGACAGAAAAAGAGAGATTTGATTTAATCAGTGTGAGCTACATGATTAAACATAGTGCAGATTAGCACTCATCTGGAGAGACTGATGAATGAATGATGATGTATGATGGACACCTGACGCAAACCACCAAAAACAAGCCACTCTAGCTAGTGAATTCCCATATGTTAAACTGATACAGTTATTTTCAGAGTTGTTTGATCTGTTATATTCAGATACCTTTATTCAAACTGTCCTTCACACACACATTCTGTCTTCCTCTCTGGGTGCCTTCTGGCAGGGCGTATTTTTAGTTCAGAACAGAAGTTTGGTGGGGATGAGAGGGAAAAGATGCAGACCCCCACGCTGCTGACGCAGTCTCTTAATCACCCCGACTAATTCACGCCAGCCCCCCTCCTCATATCACACACTTTATATGATCCTTCCATTCATTCTCCATGCTAAATGATTTGCATCTGATACATATTCACTAATGTACACTCAATCTGATAAGCACATTAGTGTACACTAATGCACACTGTCTGATGCACATATTAGTGTATATGTCATTCAATGCTTTCACTTGTGTATACTCCTGATGCACTCCATCCAGTGCACTCACTAGTGTACACTGATGCATTCTGTCCAGCTCACTCACCAGTGTATATTCCATCTGATGCACACCATCTAATGTTCTCACAAGTGTATACTCCATTTGATAAATACTCATTAGTGTATACTCCATTTGATATATATTCAGCAGTGTAAACTTAATCTGTTATATACTGAATAGTGAACACACCATCTGATGTACTTGCTAATGTATAATTAATCTGAAAAATTATCATTAGTGTACACTCAATCGGATACAAATTGATTAGTGTATACTCTAGTGATTAGAGTACACACTAATGTATATTCCATTTGATAAATATCCACTAGTGTATTCTTCATCAAATACATATTCAGTAATGTATACTCCGTCTGATAAGCTTATTAGTGTACACTAATGCACACTAATGTTCGATGCACACATTAGTGTGTACTTCATCCAGTGCTGTCACTCACTAGTGTATATTCTGTCTGATGCACTCCATCTAATGCTCTCACTAGTGTATACTCCTTTTGATAAATATTCACTAGTCTACCCTCAGTATGATGTATATTCAGGAATATATACTCCATCTGATTCACTAGTGTAAACTTAATCTGTTACATATTGATTAGTGAACACACCATCAGATTCAATCACTTGTATACTCCATTTGATAAATATTCACTAGTGTATTCTTTATCCAATACATATTCATGAATGTATACTCCTTTTGAATATTCACTAGTGTACACTACATCTGATGTATATTCACTAGTGTACACTCCATCTGATGCAAACTCACAATAGTGTGTTACATCTGATGCATATTCACTAGTGTGCACTCCATCTGCAATCAGTAGTGTACACTCCATCTGAAACTGTTCATTAGTGTACACCCACTCTTATACACTCACTAGCCATTGCAGGTAGTATTCTGTGTTATTGGAGTATGGCCTTATTTGTCCCCAGCAACAGAATGTTATTTGTGCTTCAAACTTGATCTTTTTTAGTCTCTCCCCACATTCTGTTCAGCCCTAAATTAATAGCGCTAATGATCTAGCAGATGGAACATTTACACTTGTGCTCTATCAAAGACACCCAAGCACATGCACTTGTACTCTCTCGGGCATGACACACGACTGATGATGCACGTCACAGTCACGCCAACACACGTCCATGCAAACAGAACCATCTGGAGAGAGCGTATGAGGAGATGATGAGATTTAGGAAACGAGAGATGAATGAATGGCGAGCTCATGAATGCCTGAATGCAAGTGATTGACACACAAGACAGCAGAACAGAAAGCCTAGAACAAACAGCACTCTGTGGGAGAATAGAGCAAGTGCGTCTTCAAAGGAGAAATTTCCAGTCAAGTTATTTTGAAAGTTTCTACGCACACATATGGACGTAGGAAAGCCCTATTTAAGACCTGTTGTTACACAGCAAACAATATTAAATAGAGAGTACATGGAGAGTCGCCTGTTTATCCCAAGAAATAATTTCCAGTGTGTCTCCTTGTAATGGTCAGATTGTCATTTGCTATCTACATTATCATACCTTTTCATATATTTATTATTTTAGTATTTTTTTCTCATTTATTTTATTTCTCCTAAGAAATTTATGGAAAAACATCAGAGATAAAGTTGATTCCTAAACATCAAGTCTATGACGTTAAATGTGCTATGAAAGACCTCTGATCAATACACCTTTCTTCTAAGGGTTTCAGATTACTTGGATTGCTGAAGGGTGTTGTCTAGTGACTTGTCAGGGGAGAAATTCTGAATATTAAAGAAATGACTGTATCAGTTTTTATATTAATGTTAGCTTGTGTTTATTAACTAAGTGAAATAGTCTCTTACATGCATACTGGCAGCTAACTGAATGCTCTGTTGGGGACTTAATAACTGTATTTTAGCTATTTTAACATTGGGGTGAGATTTAAAAATCGAACTGCCTCTCCATTACCATCTGCTTAGTTAATGCATAAACACACATGCTCACACACCAACAGATCAAATACTGCAAAACAAGAGATCACTCAATAAAACACTCGATAATAATTAATATTTATTTATGGTGGTTTTATTTCGTTTTTTTTAGACAAAGACAACATTTGTGTTTAACATTTCTTTCTGTCAACATGCTAAGAGAGAAAGACTATGTGATATCTTGCACACAGAGAAAACACAGATCTCTCACCTTAAGCAGTTTCTGAGTTCTTCAGGTTGAATTAAACATAGACTTCCTGCCCTAGCTTCACCTGATACTCAAAAGTACCTGGCACAACTCAAATTAACTAGCACAAACCAAAGTACTTAACACGGTTTTAACAAATGAAAAACATTAGCGACGGTCTTTGTTAGTCAGTTCTTCCATTAGCTATCCGTTCATCGTATCGTTTACAGTGGCCCCAAAAATATTTGGACATTTAAACCACTCCTAAAAATTGTATTGCATTAGGAAATAAAATATCAAAGCAATCTGTTTTTAGTGAATCACTTCAACTATGCACATTTCACTTTGACAATCAGAATGTGTCCTAATACAATATCTCTATTGTTTTATAATTTTAAAACTTTTTTGTGAAATGCTCTTCTTGAAATTTGGACATTGTAGCACAATTGCCTAAATACATTTTGGAGCAACTGTATGTGATAGTGTATAGTGTACTCAACAATCACCAAAAAGACAAAGCCTTCTACTCTCTAATCTACTGACAGTGTCTTGTTGGAAAAGTTTGTCTAGTTTGTGTATGTTCCTATTTACATGATGATGTGATGGTCATTGATAACTGACATAGTCTCCTTTGTCAGCATGAGAGTTTCCTCTCCATGCAGAGACATTCCCCGCCATCTTTGACATTGACCTCTAGTTTCATTTTCCACATCACTCCCTTTTTTCTCTTTGCCCTCTGCTTGTCCTGTGTTCTCTGATTTTAGAGAAGGACGTGACTTGAGGTGGTGTTGCAAAGCCTGCTGGGAGTGCATGCATGCAGTAGCCCTATCTCTGTTGTACTGTATGAATTGCACAGTGTGTGTTGTGTTTAATTTGTTGTTGTGTGCCAGTCTTGTCACCCTTTCCCGCATGGCTGCTTCTATGCATTTATTAGCATAAGCCCGATTGCAAGAGAAAGGTAGTGAAGCATAACAGAAGAAAAAGAGGAGAAGGAAAACTCAGCCGAAGAGAAGGTGAAAAGAGAGAGTAAGTGCTGTGAGCGAGAGGAAGGACAGAAGTGAAGACGAAGAGGAAGATGGGAGAATGGGAGAGTCGTAACCTGGTGGACATTCAAGCTCGAAACAGCGGACTGAGGCTGCATCCTCATTGCCATAGTTTGCCCAGTACTCTTCAGGCTCTAGCTTGGGTAAAGCAGCCTCCTCCGCAGTGAGATCGTACTTGGATGATGAAAATGAGGGATGTTTGACAGAGGTGAATGGAGAGGCCTTCAGGGTTTCGCTGCTCTTGTGAAAGTGGCTCTTGGATGATGAGGCCGGTTTGTTCTTGGAGAACCACCAACGGGTCTTGGTGCTGAAGGTGGTGGTTGTAGTGCCAGCCAGGGAT